TGGAACACAAACAACAAACACTGACATCCATGTGGACACACAGCCTGCCACATTGACAGCTACCATTACTGAGGGCATACTGGAACACAAACAACAAACACTGACATCCATGTGGACACACAGCCTGCCACAGTCACAGCTACCATTACTGAGGGCATACTGGAACACAAACAACAAACACTGACATCCATGTGGACACACAGCCTGCAACAGTCACAGCTACCATTACTGAGGGCATACTGGAACACAAACAAATACTGCCATCCATGTGGACACACAGCCTGCCACATTCATGGCTACCATTACTGAGGGCATACTGGAACACAAACAACAAACACTGACATCCATGTGGACACACAGCCTGCCACATTCATGGCTACCATTACTGAGGGCATACTGGAACACAAACAACAAACACTGACATCCATGTGGACACACAGCCTGCCACATTCATGGCTACCATTACTGAGGGCATACTGGAACAAAACAACAAACACTGACATCCATGTGGACACAGCCTGCCACAGTCACAGCTACCATTACTGAGGGCATACTGGAACACAAACAACAAATACTGCCATCCATGTGGACACACAGCCTGCCATATTCACAGCTACCATTACTGAGGGCATACTGGAACACAAACAACAAACACTGACATCCATGTGGACACACAGCCTGCCACAGTCACAGCTACCATTACTGAGGGCATACTGGAACACAAACAACAAACACTGACATCCATGTGGACACACAGCCTGCCACATTCACAGCTACCATTACTGAGGGCATACTGGAACACAAACAACAAACACTGACATCCATGTGGACACACAGCCTGCCACATTCACAGCTACCATTACTGAGGGCATACTGGAACACAAACAACAAACACTGACATCCATGTGGACACACATCCTGCCACAGTCACAGCTACCATTACTGAGGGCATACTGGAACACAAACAACAAACACTGACATCTATGTGGACACACAGCCTGCAACAGTCACAGCTACCATTACTGAGGGCATACTGGAACACAAACAAATACTGCCATCCATGTGGACACACAGCCTGCCACATTCATGGCTACCATTACTGAGGGCATACTGGAACACAAACAACAAACACTGACATCCATGTGGACACACAGCCTGCCACATTCATGGCTACCATTACTGAGGGCATACTGGAACACAAACAACAAACACTGACATCCATGAGGACACACAGCCTGCCACAGTCACAGCTACCATTACTGAGGGCATACTGGAACACAAACAACAAACACTGACATCCATGTGGACACACAGCCTGCCACACTCACAGTTCCCATTACTGAGGGCATACTGGAACACAAACAACAAACACTGACATCCATGTAGACACACAGCCTGCCACACTCACAGCTACCATTACTGAGGTCATACTGGAACACAAACAACAAACACTGACATCCATGTGGACACACAGCCTGCCACATTCATGGCTACCATTACTGAGGGCATACTGGAACACAAACAACAAACACTGACATCCATGTGGACACACAGCCTGCCACATTCATGGCTACCATTACTGAGGGCATACTGGAACACAAACAACAAACACTGACATCCATGTGGACACACAGCCTGCCACAGTCACAGCTACCATTACTGAGGTCATACTGGAACACAAACAACAAATACTGACATCCATGTGGACACACAGCCTGCCACATTCATAGCTACCATTACTGAGGTCATACTGGAACACAAACAACAAACACTGACATCCATGTGGACACACAGCCTGCCACATTCATAGCTACCATTACTGAGGTCATACTGGAACACAAACAACAAACACTGACATCCATGTGGACACACAGCCTGCCACATTCATGGCTACCATTACTGAGGTCATACTGGAACACAAACAACAAACACTGCCATCCATGTGAACACACAGCCTGCAACATTCATAGCTACCATTACTGAGGTCATACTGGAACAAAAACAACAAACACTGACATCCATGTGGACACAGCCTGCCACAGTCACAGCTACCATTACTGAGAGCATACTGGAACACAAACAACAAACACTGACATCCATGTGGACACACAGCCTGCCACAGTCACAGCTACCATTACTGAGGGCATACTGGAACACAAACAAATACTGCCATCCATGTGGACACACAGCCTGCCACATTCATGGCTACCATTACTGAGGGGCATACTGGAACACAAACAACAAACACTGACATCCATGTATGTGGACATACAGCCTGCCACATTCATGGCTACCATTACTGAGGGCATACTGGAACACAAACAACAAACACTGCCATCCATGTGGACACACAGCCTGCCACAGTCACAGCTACCATTACTGAGGTCATACTGGAACACAAACAACAAACACTGACATCCATGAGGACACACAGCCTGCCACAGTCACAGCTCCCATTACTGAGGGCATACTGGAACACAAACAACAAACACTGACATCCATGTGGACACACAGCCTGCCACATTCATGGCTACCATTACTGAGGGCATACTGGAACACAAACAACAAACACTGACATCCATGTGGACACACAGCCTGCCACATTCATGGCTACCATTACTGAGGGCATACTGGAACACAAACAACAAACACTGACATCCATGTGGACACACAGCCTGCCACAGTCACAGCTACCATTACTGAGGTCATACTGGAACACAAACAACAAATACTGACATCCATGTGGACACACAGCCTGCCACATTCATAGCTACCATTACTGAGGTCATACTGGAACACAAACAACAAACACTGCCATCCATGTGGACATACTGGAACCACAAACAACAGCCATGCCACATTCATAGCTACCATTACTGAGGTCATACTGGAACACAAACAACAAACACTGACATCCATGTGGACACACACAGCCTGCCACATTCATGGCTACCATTACTGAGGTCATACTGGAACACAAACAACAAACACTGCCATCCATGTGAACACACACAGCCTGCAACATTCATAGCTACCATTACTGAGGGTCATACTGGAACAAAACAACAAACACTGACATCCATGTGGACACACAGCCTGCCACAGTCACAGCTACCATTACTGAGGGCATACTGGAACACAAACAACAAACACTGACATCCATGTGGACACACAGCCTGCCACAGTCACAGCTACCATTACTGAGGTCATACTGGAACACAAACAACAAACACTGACATCCATGTGGACACACACAGCCTGCCACAGTCACAGCTACCATTACTGAGGGCATACTGGAACACAAACAACAAATGCCATCCACTGCCATCCATGTGGACACACAGCCTGCCACATTCATGGCTACCATTACTGAGGGCATACTGGAACACAAACAACAAACACTGACATCCATGTGGACACACAGCCTGCCACAGTCACAGCTACCATTACTGAGGGCATACTGGAACACAAACAACAAACACTGACATCCATGAGGACACACAGCCTGCCACATTCATGGCTACCATTACTGAGGGCATACTGGAACAAAAACAACAAACACTGACATCCATGTGGACACACAGCCTGTCACATTCATAGCTACCATTACTGAGGGTCATACTGGAACACAAACAACAAAAACACTGACATCCATGTGGACACACACAGCCTGCCACATTCATGGCTACCATTACTGAGGGCATACTGGAACACAAACAACAAACACTGACATCCATGTGGACACACAGCCTGCCACACTCACAGCTACCATTACTGAGGGCATACTGGAACACAAACAACAAACACTGACATCCATGTGGACACACAGCCTGCCACATTCATGGCTACCATTACTGAGGGCATACTGGAACACAAACAACAAACACTGACATCCATGAGGACACACAGCCTGCCACATTCATGGCTACCATTACTGAGGGCATACTGGAACACAAACAACAAACACTGACATCCATGTGGACACACAGCCTGCCACATTCATGGCTACCATTACTGAGGGCATACTGGAACAAAAACAACAAACACTGACATCCATGTGGACACACAGCCTGCCACAGTCACAGCTCCCATTACTGAAGCAACAGGAACTACAGGAGTCTACCATGGTCGACTTGTTCCATGTTACATACAGCCCATGCATTACACAAAAGTTTTCATGTGACTGTGATCAGGGCAAGCATAACACAATCCCTCATATTTTATTGAGCGATTGAGTGATTCCAGCTATATCATAGGGTAGTGAATCTTCTAGGTATGAAGATTTTCTTGAAATAAAAAAAAATCAGTATTCAGTGAAATCACTGTGCGTTAGCTTGAAAAGTGGGGAAAGATGAAGTGATGGAGGTCTGCTACAACTTTGAGACCCATGAGCACTACAAACCCAGATGCTTAACAAGGGTGAGTCTGGGATTTAGATCACCAAGTGGGTGGTACAAGATTTAAAGTGAGTGAGTTAAGTTTTACGCCCCACTCAGCAATATTCCAGCTATTTGGCGGCGGTTTGTAAATAATCAAGTCTGGACCAGACAATCCAGTGATAAACAGCATGAGCATCGATCTGCGCAATTGAGAACCGATGACATGTGTCAACCAAGTCAGCGAGTCTGACCACCCGATCCCGTTAATCACCTTTTATGACAAGCATAGTCGCCTTTTGTGGCAAGCATGGGTTGCTGAAGACCTATTCTACCCCGGATATTCATAGGTCACAAGATTTGGAAAGTGTCTGAACCCATAATATAGACATTGTCACAAAGTGCATTGGCCAAGGGCACACTGAACAGATAAGGTATCTGCAAAAGGTGTGCGTGTGCATCAACTGCACCCAATGTTCACAATCACATCCAGCAGTGAGAATAAGGATGGTTCCTGGTTTCCGGCACACCTATGAGAGGGTCCCATGAGACACCTGTTTGCTGATTAGGACACTTGACACGTTAATTGGATCAGCTGGAGGCATGAGAAGGGCTGTGACTTACCTTCATGTCAGTCAGGGGGCCTGCCACCAGGAAGAGTTTCTCTATGGAGATGACCCATGGCTCACTTCGAAGTCGACTCAGTGGGATGTGTAATGTGATCTTCCCAATCAGACCTGCAGTCAGGAACACAATAACATCATCATCCGGGCCACACTTACAAAGTATACATGTTCCCTAACATATTGACAGATTGACTCCTGAGAGTTTCCAGTACTTCAGTCCTGCCCCACAATGAAGCACATTTGACACATGTGGTCTCACCTTAGGCAAGTGAGTTTGGTCAAATTTGCCTCTGTTTACTCAGCAGTGAATGGGTACCCGGTAGGATAAGATGGTCATATGACTGTTAACCTTCTAGCACCCCACAGGCAGCTTTGGTTAACCAAGGTCATAATGTCTGCACTTTCAGCATAATATTTCCACAGTGCCACGGAGCATCTTTTAGGCAGATATTAGGCACTCTACAAATGTATCATCTCTCTTTCTATCCATATATCACTTCCTCATCAAACGATAACATCTACAAGTTCCAAACTATGTTTGTGGGAGGCCTAAACCAAAAGGCAAACACAATTTTGTTTCTAACTATAAGATACAATGGAATGGATATAGGCAGAGAGGACAAGTTTGCAATTATTGCTTGTCTAAAATATCTGACTGAAATATGTAAGTGAGCCACACTGACGTGTTGATGTATTAGCCACCCATGATGGCAATTATATTTCTAGCTTTAACAACCAACTCTTACTGACAAAAGACATTGTGCAACATGCCTTTCAAGAATTTCAACATGTAGCAGTTCGCTAACAGTAACAAGTTGTAATCAGAACAAATGAAGCTTTAACATTTCCCAATTACTTCTATTCAGTACAAACAATAACACATATAGTATTGCATCTGGTCTATGTGTCTTGTCCTGATGTCAGTGTACTGCTGCCACACACCAGACAGATCACATAAATCATACTACAATCCACTGGTGGCCATGATGCAGTCTACCACTTACGCCACTAGACAAAAGTCTCAGCTTGATATATTGTCTTTGGTCTAGTAATCTGGCTAATTAAAGATAATATGATAACACATAACTGATGACAAGGGCCAGACACAAAGCTGACACAAAAATGAAATTTTTAGAGTAAAATTAATATTTTTATACTTATCCTGACTCATGTTTATTTGCTTGTCTTCTTTTTCTGGCGAACCTAGTGGAACACTTGTATCTCCCAATTGAAGCTCCCTTCAATAAAAAAATCACTCATTAGTACTCACCCCGAGTTATCTCCCTTTCCGTAAGCGCGGGAAGGAGGGCGCCACCCAAGCCCATGTGCCTCACTCTCTCCTTTCTTGTTTTGAGCCCAACACTTTATTTTCAGGGAAAATCCAAAGTGTTAAGTGGGGAGGATGGAGGAAGCTTATTCATGAGTCAGGATAAGAATAAAAATCAATTTTACTCTAAAAATTTCATATTTTTTCTTATCCTGACTCATGCTTATTGCTTGTAGAATCCGACGGAATAGGAGGTGGGATTATATAATACTTTGGATTTTGATAATTAGTGATTTGAACTGAGATGATTGTAATAACCCTATGGGAACTTCATGAAGGCACTGAACTGATGAATTCCTGCTGCTAAATTAACAGCTGCCATAAATGGGTTATTACAATATACTTATTATGATAAAAGTATATACAACATTAATATAAAGCTGAAGTTATTAATGTGGTAGTATAAACTGTTGATAGTTTATAATGAATACTTTTATAAGAATAACCAAAGTACTGCTTACAAGATATGCATATACTTAAGCTATAACATAAGTACTGTGCCTAAGATATAACTGATAACTTAAGCTGTATAATAGTAACCAAACTCTGTAGAGTTTGTTAACTAATACATTTTATGAAATGTGACCCTATTATAGAGCTTAAGGAATAAACTTAAGCTGAACATATATAATAGCAGTAAAACTCGTTAGAGTTTATTAGCTAATATACTATATTATGATAGAGAAACATAGTACTGAGCTTAAGATATGAATAAAACTTAAGCTAATATATATAATAGCAAAACTTCTTAGAGTTGGTTAGCTAATATATTTTATGATATACTGAGTATAGTACTGTGCTTACTTATATATAATTAACTTAAGCTACATAAATAATATTAGGCAAAACTCCCAGAGTTTGTTAGCTAATACATTTTATAATGTAACCATAATGCCAAGATAAGATGAAACTTAAGCTAAATATATAATAGCCAAAAACTCCTTAGAGTTTGTTAGCTAATACTTTTATGATATAAACATAGTAATTGAGCTTAAGATATGAATAAACTTATAGCTACATATATAATAGCCAAAACTCCGTGAGAGTTTGTTAGCTAATATATTTTTATGATATGAGTATAGTATTGTGCTTAAGATATAATTAACTTAAGCTACATATATAATAGCAAAAACTCTGTAGAGTTTGTTAGCTAATACATTTATAATGTAACCATAGTACTGAGCTTAAGATATGATTAACTTAAGCTAAATATATAATAACAAACTCCGTAGAGTTGTTAGCTTATATATTGTATGATATAATAACCATAGTACTGAGCTTAAGATAATAAAAGAACTTATGCAAAAATCTATATAGCATGTAACTATTTAGTACTGTTATAGATAAGTAGAAATCTGTAAGATTGACTTATCTTCTCCGAGGAACTGTCAACTGTTGTGCGAGGACCATGGGATCGAATTGGTGGATACCTGAGACGTCCTCTGTGGTGATATCTCTCAGATAGTGGTTGGCAAACACCATATCAGATCTCCAGAAATAACCCTCCATTATGGTATTCCAAGCTCACTTGCCGTGTATAGCAAGTGTAGATGTTAGCCTAATATCATGAGGATTAGAAGCTCTTGGAGGGTCGAAGTCCTGCAGTCTTGTAGGCACGAGTATGACAGTTCTGATCCAAATGGAGATAGTAGTACGCGGAGACTTCCGCTCATGAGCTGTTGATAGAGTAAATAAATCTCTTGAATTTTCCCCTCCTCTGTTTGGATCTGTGGAGATATATTTTCAGTGCTCTTACTGGCGGCCATCGATAGATCCATCGATCATGGGTCCCAAGTATATCATCAAAGCGTGTTCATAAACCCTCACTTATGAGGTGTTGGAGCACTATATTCAGATCCCAAGCTGGAGCTGAAACTTCCGCTTTAATCCTCCAATCGAAAGCTCGTAGCAAGGTGAGTAACTGGGTTTAGGTTAACTTGACGCGCTCTCAATTATGACAGAGCTTATTGCTGCAAGATATGTGACAAGTTGGTTTCATTTAAATTTTAGTCTGGACGAGAATAACATAAGTAGTCAGCCACTTGAGGATGAGTAGCATATCTAGCTGTAAATCCTTTCTTGCAGCATAATTGACAAAACTGTGCCATTTGTCATAGTATAAGTTGCAAGTTGAGTTACGCAGGGCAAATTTGACTGCTTTGCCGCTCTGGCTGAATAACTTGTGATTCAGACACGCCTTGATACAATCCAAACGTGAAGTTGGAATATTTCTGGCTTTCCGTGTATTGCTTGTTTGGTGTGCAGATGTATTAACAGATTCGAGCACTCTGGAAGATGTAGTATTGGTTGTCCGATTCTTTGAATAAGAGTTGGAAACCACGCTCGCTCGTTGGTCAGTAGTCGCCACCAAATTCAGATGGAGGCTCTGCGTTTGACTGATTTTGAGTAAGACTTGTGGGATTAACGCTGGTGTGGCGAAAAGCGTCACCAGCGTTGATTCCTTCCCACAATATGCTTAGTGCGCCCGCTGCCCATACTAGTGGGTCTGGAACTGACGATAATGAAAGTTGTCAGTTGTTTGTTGAATCGAAAGGGCAAATAGGTCTATTAGTGGAGATCCTATTTTCTGATAATTTGAGTGAATATCTCTGTATGGAGCATCCATTCTGTCAGTGATGGTAGGTGTGGGCCGAGAGAGCCGCCTGTTATTACATTCTTTGCTCCTGGAATGTGATATGCTCTGACATGTATGTTGAGATTGTCGACAAATCAACAATTGAAAACATAGAGTCGATAGGTTCGGGGACCTGGTTGAGCTTAGTTTGTTCACATAAAAACGCGCCACTGTCCAATTGTCTGTGTGAATCATCAACTGAGCATTCTGTAGTAAGTTGCTCCAGTGCATAAAGGCTTTATCACTGCTTGCATCTCTAGCAGATTTATGTGACATTTGCTCTCTTGATTGCTCCATAGCCCTGATGCCGTCCTGTTGGCAAGATGGGCTCCCCAACCTTGTAGTGACACATCTACGTAGAGAAGTGTTATCGATTCCAGCTCTATTAACGAGACGCCTACGCAAACATTCGATCTCTTGGTCCACCATAGTAGATGAGGTTTGACCTGATCCGGTAACTGAACGGTAGAGATTCGTCTAGATGCGAATTGATGATGACTTGTAACGGATGTATTTGTAGTCTGCCTCTGATGGGATTGACTGTTGGATCTTGATCCATTGCCCTCCGGTACAATATACGATTCTGCGCCGTTACAAATCAAAAACCTAGAAATTGCAGATCTTGCGTAGGTTCTAGGTCAAACTTAAGTAGATTTACTAACCATCCTAGTTGTGTTAGTAGCTTGATGATGAAATTCAACTGTAGTCTGAGACGCTGTGGATTTGGATCCACTTGTATCCTGTCGTCGAGGTAAATTCGCTGCGAAGTCCTTGACGATGTAGGTGCACAACCAGGGGTGACTGCCATCGTTGAACTTTATGTAAAAATTTGCCTGACTGCCGTGCCCTCGCCCTTACTTGACAGGGGAGGTCTCTAACCTTATGAAGGCAGCCCAATCATGAAGGTTCAGATTAGCTGGACTGTAAAGAGGCTTTGCTCGCTCACTGATATATTGTTGTCACTTCTGCAACCTATATCTTGAACTGTGAACTATGATCGACCTCTCGTGAAGGCGTTGTCCATCGCGGTCCAGTCAGAACAAGGCATTTTGATTCTGTAGAGTACCAGCTGTGATGTCACCGGTGTAGCAGGAAAAGGAACCTTGTATAATATAGCCACCGCTTGATATTAGAACAATCGCCGGTCTTCACCGTAAGCTTCCGGGTTACACGAAAGTGACCACGCGGTTTCGAGGGTTAATGGTAAACGCTACAGATTTTCCGGCCCGAATTATCTCGCTCTGTAATATTAATGCTGGGTAGGTTGTTTTCCTGGCTGTTGTGAAAGTAACTTCAGTCTTGAAGATAATGCCGACTTCCTTATATAAAGGCTCAAAAAACTTAACCAAACCTGAAGAGGTTTTCAATTCTTCGAAGAGAGTCGTCCTTGGGGTACATATTATACATTTTCCACGCTGAAAATGTCCTGTGACAGTTGTATCAATGTTTTTTTAATAAAAAGATTGTACAATAAATAAACTTTTTTATTTATTATAAGGCCCCCACCTCGTGGAGTTACCTCCCGTTGCGCATGCGCACCAACTGGGTAATCACCTAGGCCCGTATCATCATTCCTTCTGCTGAATAAATCAGTGAACAGAATTGCGAGGAGGGAGGCGGATTTCCCATGACTGACTCTTCGAAGAATTGAAAACCTCTTCAGGTTTGGTTAATTCTTCTTCATAGAGATCGTCCTTGGGGTACATATTATGCATAAACACAGACTCCCAAAGACCGGAGGCCAGGGAGGAGGGAATTCTGTCCAAGCACATACAAATAGCTATCGTTAATTGAATA